GCAGAACTCAAAAATAATTCAAAAGCCTTTTGCAAATCTTTTGTTGTACCATAACCTCTTTCATAACATAAGCCCAATAACCATTTACCTTTAAAATTATCATTATCTGCAGATTTTTTTAACCATTCATAAGCTTTTTTTCTATCAATCTTTATCCCAATTCCCCAATAGTAACATCTGCCCAAAAAATATTGACCTATGGAATTACCAGTTTTTGCAGATTTTTCATAATGATTGAAAGCTAATTGTTTGTCTTGCACCGTACCAATAGAATTTTCATAGAAAAATCCTATTATGAAATTAAAATTTGAATCATCACTATAATTTTTTAGTAATGATTTAAAAGTTGATTTGTGTTCTCTCATATGATTATGTAAAAATCCCTTTAGACTGGTTATTATATAGTCATTATCACCTGATAATTCTAATAATTCTATAAAGAATTTTAGTAAATTTCCAAAAAATGTTGAATCAGTATCTGCTATAATTTTTTTATTACTTTCTAAACAGTTGTTTGAAGAATTTGATTTTGTTGGACTTTGTGGAATTTGGTGAAATGTGGTTACAGAAGTAGGAGATGATGGCGGTGGCGAAGATGGGGAAGATGGAGAAGATGGAGAAGATGATTCAAGTGCTACACCATTAAATGAACTTCTTCTATATTGGGCTGTTAATCGATTTTGAGAAGGATTCAAAGTGTCGTTAAAAGAACTTCTTCTTGAAGAAAACGAAGAAGAGGAAACAGTTCTATTCGTTTTTAATGATCTGCCACTATTATTAACACTATTACTGCTACTACTATTATATTTGTTGATAGTACTATTTCGTTTATCCGATGATTTTATGATGTTAATATTTGGTGGTGTGGTTTTTTTTTTGATAGATTTTTGATTTTCTAATTTTATTGATTTTTTTTGATTAGTACTATTTGAAGAAGAAGATTTTATTCCGTCCCTTATTTTAGAAGTAACATTAATTTGACCTAGTATTTTTTTAACTTCGTTAATGTCAGGTCTTTTATCTGGGTCATCATTCCAACAATTTTTGTAAAGATCTATATAACTTTGTGGTGTTCCTTTTGCTGACGATTCTTGAGTTATTGAAGAAGACAATGAAGGAGAAGACGATGAGTTGTTGTTTGATGGCAAGTAAAGGGTTCTAGATGGAATTTTACCACATGATATTTCCCAAAGTAAAAAGCCTAGACTATAAATATCCAATTTTTTATTATTATTTTCATAACCTTGCGGATCAATATATGTTGTATCACCTTTAATATCTGATATTAAGGATGATCCAAAAATTGAAATTTTGATTTTTCCTTTATTAATAAGTATATTACTATCGGCGTGCTAAATATATATAAAATGAAATTAATACAAGTAATAAATGTGTATGTTATATTTAAATTAATAAATATATAAACCTACAAGTTCTTTATGATTTGTATTTTCTGAATGCAAACAAGCCATTACACTTGTAACTTGTTTTGCAAGATCTAACTTGTCGTTCCAACTTAATGATGAAAAGTTTTTGTTTAAATAATTTCTTAAAGTTCCGCCATCTGCATACTCAATTACTAATAAATATTTATTGGTATTTGACTCTATAAAATATAAATAAATTAAAACGTTAATTTTACTCTTTTTCTTCTATTCGTACTAAAATTAATTCATTCGTTACCTTTGGTTATTCCATAAAATTTTAAGATATTTGAGTGAAAATCCAACTTTTGGCGTAACTTGAGCTAACAACAAAAAAAGGATGAATCACTATTTAATTTATAAATGCATAATTAATTAAGCATAATATTATTATTTATTGTTCTTTCATACCTCATCAATAAAAGAATGTAAAATAGATCTGTTTTCTTGAGAAGTAACATCAATCATCAATTCTTTTAATGTCACAACAACATTCTTTAATTTCCAATCTGCTTTATAAATTTTATTACGCTCTTCCTTTATACTAATTTCTTCAATCTCGTTAAATTGCTCATATTCATATAAATTCAATTGCTTTTCATTTATCAATTCTTCAAACAAACTCGAAGGAAATTTTGCAATAGTCGTGTTGGCCATCATGTTGATCTTGTTGGTTGTTATCAATGGGGTAGTTTGATTTTCTGTAAAAAATCTTTATAAAAAGTTAGACCATTTTATATGTTACACGGGAATGATATCAATTTGAATATGAATATCCGCCAGATTGACGGATAGCTTTTTTTAATATTAATATTAATATTAAAAAGTCTTCATTTACGAATGGTTATCATTTATATAAAGAATTATTATCTTTACGACCATTTTGTTTCCTTTTTTGGATTGCGACATCGTTGTATGTATGTATATTACAATGATGCAGGAAGAATAATTGTCATGTGAAGTTTTTACAAATGTAATTTCTAATTAAAATAAAAAAAAGCCTCTTCTTTTTTACAAATTAGGACTATTACTACATTTCATAAAATGAAAAAAATCGAAACGCGTTTGAATTATCTTTAGTGCCCAAGTTCGAAACACACACAAGTAGGTCAATATTGGTGTGTAGAGCAACTTTTACATACATACGAGCTGTGCTAACTTGATTTTTTTTCGAATTTTGACTTTGGAGCTAACTATGTGTAATAACAATACACAATAATACTATTAATGAAATAAAAATGCGCTCGAGTGCTTGAGTTTGAAATAACATGGGCTGATCAATATTGGTATGTAGAACGACCTTTACATAGCACATAATACAGATTTTGGTACAGATTTTGTAAGTTTTCATTTTGAAGATTTTTAAAATTCTTTTATTGTTGAATCGCAATAAATCAATAACTAGAGTTTGGTGATGATAAAGTTGTTCTTTAAATGATGCAATTTTATACTTGAATTTTTCAAGATTTATATCTAATTCTTTATCAATTAATTCTGTCAAAGAAAAACTTAGATAAACTTGATTGTCAAAAAAAGCCATTATAACATAAATATTACGAGGAAATTGTTTGTTACACGTCGTTCTCCGCAAAATTATTCTCTAAAAAATTTTTTTCCATTTTATTCATTAAAACACCAAGTCAAATTTTTTTATAATGTCACATGTTAAACTGTTATCATCATTATCACAAGAAAGAATGGGATTTGTATTTAAAATTCATAACGAAATGCATAATAATGCAGTGGTTAATTCTGATAGAGAAAGTAGAAAAGATTATTTTTTTTCATTAGTCCAAAAAAACAAGGAGCTTTCTGAAAATGAAAAAGAATTTTGTAAGGAAAAATTTATTTATAATTTTGAATTAAATAATGCAACATATAAATTGGGCAAACCAAAAGAATGTAACAGCTGTAAATTGATAAGATATTCTGATAGATTCTGTGAAGGTTGCATTAGTTTACAATTACAGAGTACCATTTGGACTTCTGGAAATAACATAATTGATGATTTTATTCAACAATGTCAAATGAAATCATCTCTGCCAAACTATATTTTAGAATGGATACCTTTTGAGCAATTTGAAGATATTGCTAAGTTGACAGAAGGTGGATTTAGTTCAATTTATACTGCTACATGGACAAGAGGATGTATTAATGATTATGACGAAAATAAAAAAGAATTTAGTTATTTTGGAAGGCAAGAAGTAATATTAAAAAGTTTAAATGATTCAAGTAATCCAGGAAAAAGCTTTTTTGATGAGGTTGGTAGTTTTTATTTAATAATACTGTATTATATAATACTAATTGATTTATACTTACTTTCAGGCAATGAATTATCATAAAATTAAAGCACCACTGATTGTTGAATGCTATGGTATAACTAAATTCCCAGATAATGGAAATTATGCAATGGTTTTAATTTATCTTAGAGAAGGAAATTTAAGGGGTTATCTGCAAAAAAATCATTTAAATTTAACATTAAAAGACAGGATTACAATCTTTAGATATTTATGTAATGCATTAAATGATATACATCAAAAAGATTTAATCCATTGTGATTTACATAGTGGTAATATATTATTGGATGGAGGTAATTGTTATATTACAGATTTAGGATTATGTGGACCAGTTGATGAAAAGTCATCAAATAAAGTCTATGGAATTGTGTCATATGTTGCACCTGAGTTACTTAGAGGCAAAAAGAACACAAAAGAATCTGATATTTATAGTGTTGGGATGTTAATGTGGGAAATATTTGCGGGTCATCCACCATTTGACAATAGAGCTCATAATCATCGTTTAATTTTTGATATATGTGAAGAAGGTTTACGACCACCAATATTACCTGGAATCCCTGATGACTATGCACAAATGATGCAGAGGTGTTGGGATGTGGATCCATCAAAAAGACCAACTAGTAGAGAGCTTTGGACATTTGCTGAAAATAAACATAACGAAGTTTTTGATAATAATAGTAATAATACTAGTAAGAATAGTAATAGTAAGAATAACAGTTTAATAAAAAGATTATTCAAATTTAGTAGGAATAACAGTTTAATAAAAAGATTATTCAAATTTCCTAAAATTAAAAAACATGACGTTGACCTTGATAATGATGGTAGCGGTAGCAGTGGTAGTGGTGGTGGTGGTGTTTCGCAACAAGTACACAAACCACATCCAGATGCATATCATAAAAGTAGAATATTAGATGAAGAGATTGCTAAATCTAAAAGCTTAAAACTTTATACAAGTAATGATAGTTCGTTAAATAGTCTTGATTTTAACTCTTTTCTCTAAAACGATGATTTTAACAAAGGTGAATAAAAATCCATTATTAATTAATTGGAAATAATATCCATTAATTATTACTAACGATACTTATTTGATTGATTAATAAACACTAGATTCTAGTAATTAAGAGAAAGAATCGATGAGTGACTAATTTAATCTTCACTATAAATTTATTATTTATCTTTTTATTTTTTTATTTTATTTCTTAAAGTTAAATCATAGTAATATTTTGAAATAATAAACTTTTTTACAGTTTCTGATTCTTGTTAAATGATAATATTGCCGATTACAGCTTAATTTTTTGGGCGACTCTTGTCAGTTAATTGCAAGCAACTCATAATAATTCGGTGATTGTCAATTAACTAGTTTTACGAATTTACTTTGGTTCTCGCTTGTTGCCTCTTTCTTGTTTGTAAGCACACTTAGTGGTGCCGGATAACTAACTCTAAATGAATAAAACGACTTTTTTACAAAGCTCAAAGGCTTCAATAAAGTTCCTTTTATTCGCTTGTGACTAATTTATTTCAGTTTATCTGTCGATTTGGTTTATTTACAAACATTTAGGCAGCTTGTTAACGGCCTTGCGTTTATTATTACAATAACACTACTGGTAACCTTTGGACAATACTTCACTAACACCCACTAGTTAACCAACGTTAGTACTAAACCCTTGTTTACCCACTAAAGGCAAAAAACTTGTCTTTTTACCAAGACACTTACTCCACTTGTTGTTTTTATCAAAGCGCTTTAAACAACGATTTTGAGGGTTTTATTTTATTGTAATGTTAATTGTGCATTGATTTATTATTCAATTTCGTAGAAATGAAATCGAGTTTTATAGGTTGCGAAATTTTAAATTAAAAATAATAGAGAACATTTGAATGTTAGAACTACTAATTTTTTAAAACACAAAAAGATCAAGAATTCTATTTTATATGAAAATAGAGAAATCGTATACAATAAGAGAGCTTTCGATAAAAGGAAACGAAAATATTTCTTTACATGGTAATTAAACAAATTATAAATATAAATCTTCCGCTTGAATAATAATAATGGTAAAATTAGTTGATAAAGTTTTTTTTATAACAAGCACCTTCTTCAATTAAAAATGACTTTAGGTTAAACAAAGTAAATGTATGGCAAGGATTGTATATGTTTTATATACAGCTATTGATTATATTTGCATAACTATAAACCATTAGGTTTCTTTTATCTTACTGTGAAACTTAGATCACTAAAAAAAACCAAAAATTGTAAAACTTTTCATAGGAGAGCAGCTTCTTTCAATTGAAAACGACTTTAGGTTAGGTGTCTTGAGGATTATATATAATTTTAAATGCTTTAACAATAAAGTAATTTAATCAATCAATATCGCAAAAATATTATAAAAAGCTTGTACACAACAACGCCTTCATTTCACTTGTAATTTTTGTGCAATTATAAAAGGCTTGCACAAGTATTTTACGCAGTTCATATTTTTGCACGATAACTTGGTAATTATGCACTACGCTTGCGTAAAGTTTTCATTCGAGTAAGAATTATGAATAATCTTCAAAGTGCAAGATATTTGCAAAAATTGCATACATATAATTTTTACGTTGCGTAGGTGAAGATGGCCGACGGCTCTGTGACTGCGGTAATACCACACGACATATCATCAAGACCAAGATGTTCATCAGATGGTATCACACCATCACAGCATTCGGTGGTTGGTAAATTATAATTATAAAGAATATTGACAAAGAAGTTAAAATTTTTGGATTACCCGGTAATTTTTCCCGATGTCGGACATCCTCCATCCATCTTCTCTTTTTTGTTTGGGTTTCGGGTTGGTAATGACGCCAACTTTTTTTTTGGTTTACGTAGTTTGCCATTTATTTCGTACAATTAGCGTAGTGATAATTAAGAAAGAAATCGGTGTGATCCTCTTAGATTATGTCGTTATTATCGCTATTATTATTATTATTATTATTATTATCAATAATTAAAATATATGCCATTTATCGCCCGCCTTCCCTTTTGTATTAATAAAAAAAGATTTAAATTGAAAAATGAAACGACTGTGTATAATTTTTGAATATAAATATTATGCTAGCCTACCATTATTTTTATTTTTATTTTTATTTTAATAGTAGTAATAATAATAATAAATAAAGACGTTCCGTGCCATGCGTAAGAAAAAAAAACAAAATTTTTCTGATTTGATGATAAAAAATTTGAACAAAAACAATTAAAGGTACATAATATATATTTTTGATGAATTGATTATTTTTGAAATTATTAAATTATCTTTTTGGGGAGGTTTTCACAACACAATTAATTGTCTAGATCATAAATATATATAAATATTATACAGGAATTATCATTCATTTAGCAAAAATAAATATCATTTGTTAAATTAAGTGTCTTTTATCAAAAAATTATGGTAACTCAGTGACGGGTTCTGTATTATCCTACAAAAAAAAAACATATAAATAAATCAATAACTATAATAAATTATATATATATAAACATGTATGCGTGAAATTACCAACTAACCTCTTCATAATTTTCACCAACAAATTCCGATTGCCTGTTTTCAAAAATATCATTCTAAAATAAAAATATTTATAAACATTTAATATATATGTGTGTATAAAAAATATATTAATTTTTTTTTTTACCTCTTCGATCATATTTGCTGGTGGTGTTTGCATCTCGAAATCAGTATCCTTATCAAAATCCTCGCTAATATGAATTTAATTAAATGAGGTTAGCAATGAATTAATAAATATTCGAAATCAATAAATCCTACAAACTTCATCCATGGTTCATCTTCTTCATCGCTTTCATCCGAGGAACCAAATTTATCTGGTAAATCATTGGTAATTTGCTGACAAAGATACCTTGCAAACTATCGTTATTGTTATTTGAGTAAAAAAAAAATTTTATTCTAGATATTATAATTACTTTTGTATTTATATATATATATTTATTTATTTATAACAAACCTGATCATCGGCCATATCTCCATCTGCAACCGCTTCAATAGCATCGTCTTCATCTTCGTCGTCTTCACTTCCTTCACGACTTGGTGACATACTATCATGATTAGTTGGTCTTTGTCCACCTAGTGGAGCACGATCTCGCTCTCTTGTTTCACGTAACGTTTTAGATACATATTCCTGCCAATCCTCGGCTTCAATATATTCTAGAACAAAAAAAAAAAAAAAATTTTTTTAAAATGAGTTGAATCGAGAAACAATATTTTTTTTCTTTTAAAAAAAAATTTTTGTATATCTTTGAGAAATCCAAAGAATACAATAATATAAATTCCTTAAATGAATGCATAGTTCCAATAAAATAGCAATAAACGCAAACCTCTCACTTTTTCTCCAATCTCTACTGCAAATCGATCCATTAATTTCACAATCTCTTCTGCTATAACAGTTAAATGACCCATATAGCCTAACCTTACTCCTTTTGGTTGTTCGCTGAATGATAACAAACAAACAATAATAAAAAGAGATTTATCAAAACTAAAACATTAAAATTAAAATAAAATAATAAAAATAAACTTACACTTCATAATCATTAAGCCTTTGTGCTTTGGTAACCCGTTTAGTGATTTCTCCGTCAACAAACACCTGAAATCATATTTGACAATACAGCAGTTAAAATTAGTATCAAAAAACTTTTTCCAATATTATAATGATGATGACGATGATGATATTAACTGAAATGGCTAAATCTTTATTATATCCAATGTCCATTCGACCATTAAATATTTGAGCAATCATGTCGTACACAACAGTATGTAGAAAGTTATTCCATTTAAAATTGAAAAAGAGATCCTAAACATATCAACAAAATACAAAAATATAAGTATAAACATAAAATATTATCCGATTATTAACATCCAATCATACCAAGCATGTAGGAATGATTTTATGTTCTATAAATTTGAGTTTGAGCAAATCA